GCTATCCGTCGTATGTCGAATCCACCCACCCCATTTGCTCACTACAGATCGATGTGAACCCACACTATTGGAGACCCTGGCAATGATGGGCCCCACCGTACCTAAGAGTACCGCCCAAGCCCAGCGCATGCCTGACTGGCTCTTATAAGAGGCTGCTATTGATACCGAACACCAGGACCACATTCGAAATGATTTAGTAGACATCATACCACGCCTCCAAGTTCCACCCAACACAAGAATTATACATTCCAAGTACGTTCTTGTTCGCAAGTATGATGAGAATGGTAAACTTACCATTTACAAAGCTAGAATGGTTGCCAGGAGTGACCAACAACAACATGGTGTCTCCGATAGTGAAACTTACGCTCCAGCAGCTTCGTCTGTTGCAATTCGTACCTTCATCGCCACTGCTGCCTATGAGAACAAAGAAGTCGATCATTTCGATGTTGCCACTGCTTATCTTTACACTAAATTGGATACTTCGGTTTATATGTATCCTCCGAAAGAGGCTGTGAAATTAGACTATAGTCCGCCAGATACGGTACTTACACTCAAGAGAGGATTATATGGTTTACAACAGTCAGGTCGACTAAGGAACTTTGATATCGGCGGTAAACTACAATCGATAGGTTTCACCCGCACCGAAGCCGCTGAATCGATTTGGGTCCACTCTCATAAGGACATCGCGATTGTGCTATATGTTGACATAATAAAAGTCATACGTAACACACAAGATGCCCTCTGGTTATTCTATCAATTAGAAAAACACTACAAAATCAAGAATCTCGGACTCCCACGTCACCTCGTAGGACTTAAAATCCAACAGCACTCTGATGGTAGCATCGAAATTGGCCAAGAAGCATACGTTCAAAATCTACTCGATACCTTCCATCTAGCGGACTCCCCGACGAAAGCAACTCCCGGAACACATCTCCACCCCAGTACAGTGACAGGCGAACCCTGTCGTGAAAAGTACAAATCGCTATTAAGGGCACTAGGGTTTGCTGCTATTACATCCTGCCCGGACATTGCTTGGCGGCCTCGGCAGATACAGACTGATGAGGGCGTGGAGTTTGTTAATAACTCACAAGACATTACATCCTAACTGTCCATAAACCCTAGGTGCTGCGGAGCGTCGACACAAGGAAATAAAGTGTACGTGCGCTATGTGTGAGTTATCCCGAATCGTGGGATGGACGTTTTTTTACCATTCACACCGTTATATTAGAAATCACAGAAATCACGGCGATAGAAGTCGGCACCTTTCGGTGCTTGATTACTTTGGCCGGCACCGTGCTCCTTTGCTGATTCGAGGGGCGAGTTCCCTGGTCATAGTCCAACCACAGACGGCGCGTGGATTAAAGATCAGGATCAGTTAGAGAAGTTTATTCCTCCAAAGCTGCATCAGAAGACTTTTAGGATTCGACTGATAAGATTACTGATTAGAAAGTTCAATCTCATCGAGTTCAAGACAGGTGATATGGTTATAATGCTGACTCAAGGAGCAACAACTAAGACAATGAAACCGTTGCTAGGGCCATGTGTGATCCACAGTTATGAAAACAAAGCTATCACTTACGGGATAAGGACGGCAGCAAGCCACCGGAGCTTAACTGTACCCTAGAATCTCAGAAAAGCCAACCCTGATTCCAAAACCTAGGATTATCAAATCCTGACCGGATCCAACTTTTTTTGTTTTGTTGATATTAGTGTCATCAGAAATTTAGCGGTAGATCCAGTAAATAATATCGGAACTCAGCGTGTCAAAGAAACACTCAAGTAGAATTTGTGGTACGAGTTCACTTTAGCTTACTTCATTTCATCGACAACTTAAGTAGAATTTGAGGTACGAAATTCACTTTAGCTTACTTCAGGACATTGGTCTCCTCACTTTATACCTCAACTACTGACTCTGGTAAGTTGCAGTCTACATCGGCTGGAATCATATTCTGGGCCAACAAGTCCGATAACGACTCTTGGAAACCTCCTTGCCTGTGTTCGGGATATTCTCCATATGGCGAAAAAGGATGATTCCAATTTTGCATACGTGGTATGAGTGGATTGATTATACCTGCGAGGTAGGTACGGTGAATTTTTGATCGAGAGGTCGAGAACCTCAAAGCAATCCACAACATTGATCGCCGTGACACAGGATTATAGTTTTCATTTAAGGCAACAACCCGCTATGGAAATATTCGGCATTGCCATTGTTGACCTGGCTCCGCGGAGCGGATTCTTCTTCACTTCCTCGTTTCACAGTCTGTCTTCTGGTGGTTGGAAAACTGGTTTAAGTCTGCTGCTAACTCTGGTAGCTAGTCACTTCAATGTTTGATGTTGCGTCCTAGTATTAGTTACAGTTTCTTCTTCTAATTAAGTATTTCGTTTATTTATCTTTTGAAATTTTCGACACATTGTTTGCCTCACTTGTTTGCTTCAGTTGTTTTGATTCTCGTGCGAAGCTGTATTGGTTTGACTTGATCCGAGTATGTATATCTTTTAAAATGTAGAGTAGAGAGTAGCTGGAAGGATACTACCAAAGGAAAGTATAGACCTCTTCTCAAGTCCGGTTCTCTCGTCTAGGAAAAGTCCTAGTCTGAGGGAAGCGAACTGAGTCTTTATTTGAAACTTGTATCTGCTAATTCACAGACTCGGATTGTCACTTGAGTATTTCCCTCACAAGGAGCCCCCGGTCAGGGGGAACCGAGTTCCCGCCAGATCCCTGATGACTCTGATATCAGGAATATAGTATTTGGGTTCAGACCCCAGTATCAGGTATTGGGAATTCTGTAAAATCGGGTTTTGAAGTTTGGCATTTCGACTTTTCTACACCGGTGATTTTAGGACAACGTTATTTTCATACCTCTTCTTCAACCCTTCCGTGGGTGTCCTAGTCAAAATCCCGTTTTCATATCGAGACCTCCCCACATGTCCCACTTATACAAATTATGTGTACAGTTCACAGATAAAATTAGTCTTTACAAAAGTGTCCTGCAAGAGGTCTCTATACGAACATAAAGGCTTTATACTATCACAAAGGTTTAGTAAAATTATAATATATATATAACATTTTGTGACTTTTTTTTTAGCTCTTATTTTCACTGCTCAGAAAAAATCGTACAGCCCGGACTCATTCTGCCCTTCCAATCCGACACCAGCGGGACGGCAAGGAAGAATTTCAGCCCATAATGATAGGACCGAATGTGATTAATCATACTCGGGAATTATCTTAATATGCCTACCGACCATCAACCCGTCAGACGGCCAATAGCGCCCAGCGATAATTGCCGGGGTTTCAAGTCGCACAAGGATTCATAATAAGAGAACAAGTACTCAGGAAATTGTACCTCTATACTCTCGCAACTACTTTACCTATTTAGGTTGGTTCGACTTTCGAGACAGCAACGGCAGAAGATTCCCGGAACAAATTCAAAGCAAAACCATCGCTGAAGGCCGTGCAAGCACCAAGCGATCCGCCGTCCACTAATTCCTTGTCTCATTTTGAAATACACACAATCCCTTAAACTACAGTGACTCTGCCCTTGAATTCGTCGAAGTTTTTCCAATTATGCGATCCGAAAATTGACCGCCCACCAGAGCCTCAAGTCCTATTATTTGCACCTGCACGCCAATTGTCAAGAATCACATTACACTACACTTATGCTGAACCAAAATTCCAGTCTCCGAGACTAGCTAAGAACATGCCACAGAAATTACGATACCTCACTACCGGAATCAATGGCCACTACCCCTCTTAACTATTAATGCTCGTCCACTGGCTCCCAAGAATCAATGCCGAAGACGCCATCAGCTATCTCTTCTCCATAGGCAACGGAGCATATACTAAAACCTAGTTCAAGATGAGATTTTAGCAAACATTGAAGCTATGTCGAATCCCAGACGCAAGCAAACATTCTGGGCACTATTTACACATAGGTGTTGCCTTACTACTCTAGAAAAGCAGGAATACGAAAGTGAAGCAATGATCACTGGCCAGTGCATATCAACAGTAAATAGGATCCACTGACAACGTACGGGTGAACATCATTCCCGAGTTGCTGCAGTACTTAGTGAGTACATCATGCATATTGGCAAACCATCACAGACGCTTCCTAAAAGCTTCCTACGTATGAGCTATCGCTAAACTCGGAAACGCTGAAACATTGTGACGGGTTTTGGTGGAGACTCGAGTTCCCAATACATATAAATAGCAGATTCCTGTTTCGTATCGAAACGTAAATGAATACAATACTGATCACGATAACGTATTTTTGAAACCCAGATATTGCTAAAGTGTACTTTAAAGTTGACAGATTCTATAATGGACGCTATTAAAGTAGTTTTTTTCCAGATGAAATAGTTTTCTGGTAAACGTCGTGTATATATCTAATTCCCCCTCATTTTTTTGCTCACTGCCACGGGCTGAAGCTAAACGCAATTATTTCTTCTTTATTTTCGTGCTCATGTCATAGCACTAGACAGTCAAACTTCACACTACCGCTAGAGAGCAACATAGCAGAGCAATCGCGGAATGCGGGTTTACAGTCTGCCTGTGATCTAGCAGCTTCAAATAAATGGTTGTTCCTCCATTCAAATTCCATCCAAATTTCAGGAAAAAATACAATAGCCGACTGCCAATACATCAGCCAAGATTCCTGTAATAGAGAGTAGTAAATCGGCGATATGGCATCCAGTATCACATGAATACTGCTTTCGCTGGTGTCAAATCATAAAAATGTATCTTGACGGTTGAAACGTAGTCCATAAGCAATGCATTTGTAAAACACTTGTCACCATGCTCAACGGACATTATATATATATATATATATATATATATATAATATATAATAAATAAATAATAATATATATATATATATATATATATATACTAATAATATATATATATATATATATGTATATATATATATATACTATATATATATATATATATACATATATAAATATGGCTCTAACCCCTCAAGTACCAAGTAGGGATACTATTCAATGCTGCAATGACATTCGTTGGTCGATAGGAATATACAACTTCGCAGCCATTTTTAACTCGCGGGAGGAATCTGAACTACCAGTGTCCTCAAACAGATGAGAGCTTGTCTGTCGTTATTTAGTCCACTCGTAGCGGTCAATTCATGTGCCTGGGTTTGCTGATAGAGTGGCTGTTTTATCAGATCTAACTAAGAAGGGTGCCAATTTCGATGAGACACTAAACAACAGGTTGCATATTCCTAATTGCTATTGGACACGAACCCGATTCTACTAACCCATTTTACATCAGAGTATTATCCCTCCGGTACTATAATTAATGCACGGGGAAATAAATGAACAACAATTCATCGAAGGCAGTGCCACTGCAGTCCAAGGGGAAACCAAAGTTCCGACGCATGCAGACTTAGCTACTTTTCCAAAATCAACGAACAAATCTTCCATATACGTAGAACAAATGGTGCGAACACAACCCTCACAAGGGTATATATTTGACAATCAAGACTGCCATCGCATCAGTTCCAAATAGAGGGACAGGTGGACGTTGTCACAGATTCACAGGCTTACAAGTGTAAATTAATCTCAGTGTAGTATTTCATGTGACCATATATACACAAAATTGACCGATTAGAGACTTTCCCAGTGGAAGAACGTTAACCATCAGCGATTACATGCAGGTTTGATACCTTTATCCTCATTCTAATATAAATTTCAAATCTTCTAAAATCAAAGTTGCGATTGTCGGTTGGAGATCTTCCGTTGATGAGGCCTTGCAGCTCAGCCTCACATCGTCACCAATCTATTGAGAACAGTTAAGAAAAATTAAAAGGTATTCAGATGTAGGCCAAAAATAGATACACCGGAAAGCCGGATTGCGGATGCTAACCATTGATTTAAAAACTTACCAATTGAGTTGCCAAAACACACACATGGTGTCCGGTAACTGCTCTGCCATAAGCGGAGCAGTTGCTATCCGAAAGCTCGACAATGGCAAGGTGACCTGCGGCAACGATTCTATCCATGACCACTTTGAGCCCCCCTGTTACACAATAGACAGCACATTGTTATATTTCAATACAATTGGGCTCATCATGAATTGACGGCTGACAAGTTGTGCCTCGCACGGTTTCAATGATCAATTATAAATGTGTGCTGTAGCCACGTAAACTAAATAGGTTCTAGTTTATCAGGAAAGTGTATAGGCGTGGTACTAGGGGAGTTGCATTGTCAGAAAAAAAGAAACTAAAAACGTACCAGCTACTTTAACCTCACACGGCGCGGCAGACGCCAGTGGGCTCTCATATGCACTGAGAATCACACTGAGTTCATTGGGTGTGCACGCGACAGGTACAACGTATGCAGAAACCGGAAGTTCATACGTGAACGGGAGCTCCATCCAGTCAGCGTGACTTGCCTGCGAAAGGGGACCGAGTATAACAGTCAGCATGCAAATAAGGATTACGTACTCAATTACGCGCTAATATGGATGACAAGACAGGAGCAACCATATCACTTCTACAATTTTTTTATTGCCCGCGCACACGTGACCATTAAATTGTATACCCACCGTGCTGTATCGCAAGGTGCCCTCCAGAGTGACCGCTTGCAATGGGAGCGACACCACATAAGTATGCCTGAGTTGAGCGGACGACGAGGTCTTGATGCTGTTGGCGATGCTGGATGTCGATTGTTGTTTTAAGGAATCTGTACGTAGTGTATTGGAGTCGAGTGAGAGATGGGCAGGGGGTCATACTTAAAAGTTAGCATTGCACTGACCGAGACGGACATGCCCAGTACATCATAAGTACGAGATTCCTATTCGGAGAGCGTACTACAGAGAGCAGGGTACTGAGATATCGCCTATAGATGAACATGCGGCAAATCTGTCACAAGAATTAGGAGTCTTTACCGTTATTTGAGTTGACATCGAATTCTACATTCTCCAACACTTCGGATGACAAATTTGTCACAACAAAGGTGATGAAAACAGTGCTGTCGTGTTCACCATCGCCACTGTAACCCACAGCACACTGTACCGAGCTGTTGTCGGTTGTTACTAATGTGGTCATCGCTCCTAAATCATAACCACTTCCTGCGGATGGTTAAAATAAAATAAATATGTGTAGGCAGAATGTGAGCTTCGGGATTCGAGGCACAATGTTGCATCAAGATCAGAAGTAACTCTACAGTTGTGTCGCCAAAAAATATTTTGCTGTGCTCGTTCTGCAAAGAAAAGTGCAAACTTCGGTAACAAAAACCAGAGCCCGATTATACAGATCAAGTCCAATGAGGGCTTAGACATTTCACATACCCTGACCATTATCGTCACCGAAGGATACAATGGGCCGAGGTGATGATTCCTCCGAATCGCCTGTCTTCCTCCGACTATGATTGTCCTTATGTGGCCTAGCTTCATCTTTACTCTTTTTCTTTTTCTTTCTACTCTCCCTCTCACCATCTGCGTACGATCGTTCATCAGTACTTGCTCCCCTGGAACTACCTACATCTCTCTCACTATTCCCTTCCCCATTGCTTGCATCGCCTTTAGCGTGTGAATGGGAATATTTACTTTTGCGATGACCTCTACTAGAACCACTTTTATGTTTCTTATCCGTTCTTCTTTTATCCGAATCATGTTTGTTTGTCTTGTCCTCCTTCGCAGCAATGTAAGCGGCCGCCTCTTCGTCCCGCTCTCTGTCGCTCTTGTGGCGGTTCGAACCTGGTAATAATACAAGATTATATTTCAGTGATACGAATAACAAATTCAAAAGATTAATCAGGACACATGTTGCAACTTTCTCATTCTGCGAATTTTTGACACAATTTTGCGACCAAATATAAGGATACATTGCAGACTTTGCCTCGAGACAATCAACGAAGAACCTTAAACCGAAGCTGTACTATTTAGGCGTATCGAACATACCCGAGGTCGGCGTAGGCGTGCTTGATGCTGTTCGATGCGTTTGTACGGGTATGGCATCTTTTTCAGTTAATGGCATGTCTAGATCAATACCCAGTTGTGCATGCGGATCATCCTTGTCTAAATCTGGGGTGCTCCTGTCTGCTGCACAATAATCATGTTTGCTTAGAGTCAACTTTCGGTTCATCTTTTCAGATAACATATTTGAATCATAACCCAGTTGTGTATGTTTTTTACCCATGTCCAAATCTGGGTTGTTCGTCTTCTGTACATCAAACATGTCTTACTCGTGCTAGCACTAGCGATACCGATTACACCTGCCGAGGTGTGCAAGACTAGACCAATGAGACAAAATGATTGTCATCTTGCATGTGAACGCTTGCCCAACACATGGCTGAAGGAATTTGCAACTTGCATGACGTTAGACATATTGTCGAATGAAGGCATTCGTCGGTTGCCATAATATGAGACAAGCCCATTCAGAAGACAGTTTGATGTACGGCAAAGCTCTGATCAACGAGGCTGTGAATACACGATTAATACCAACATAGTTCTAATCGAGTATAAATACAGAATAGTAATTTCATTCACACCTTTCCTTCGACTTTTCGAACTATTTGCCGCCTGCGACTTGTTGTCGGTTGGAAAGTCCTCTACTTGCTGTATCGTATAGTTCTTTGATCGCCTCGGGGGACTGGCCTGCACAGCACGAGAAAGCAGATGGTTGATATAAAAGCTGAAGAGATAAGCACGTAATAGAAATATGCGAACAGCACCAATAAACAACTTGCGATGAAGGGCGTTCGAAACCCATGTATCTGGTGAGTTTACATCAGCAGACATACAGAGACCGCAATACCTCATGAACCCCACTGTGCCGCCTATCACGTTTACTCCTCTTCCCCCTTTTCCCTCTGTGCTTGTGTTCTCCGCGTGAAAGCTCACCATCTCCAACACCCAAGTCGAATGCTTGACCCAAATCAAGTTTTGCAATGGGTATACTGTCAACCTCAATCGGGCTCATGGACCGCAGTCCCGAACTTTCATTGGCTGTATTACCGCTACCACCCAAGTAGTGAGGATTGCTTTGGTTCTGCACCCGCCGCGCCTCTAATCTGCGTGCAACTTCGGCGGGATCTATATGAAACATTGAGATGCTGATGGTCAGAGAAATCTAAGCGAACAAGAATCCGCCAGCAAATATGATAAACAAGCTAACAAGTAACGATGCTCATTGCTGGTCACAGCAAGTCACGAGCCCCACATACACTCGTTCAGATACAGTCGCAAAAATGTTCAAAGAAATCTTCTTTCTTATTGTTAAGCATCGTGACGTAAGAAATATTCAGGCAGTATGACATAGCTTTCAAGTAAATGACATTTTCCTCTCACCTTCAGCGGGGCGGGCGCCATATCCGTGGGCAGCTCCCTGGTTATATCCGCCACTAATATCACCACCACCGCCGCCTCTATAGCTATTGCTACGGCCGTCATTGCCGTACGAATTGTAGCTTGTCGCATTGTTTGCGTTGTCGTAATTGTCGTCGCTTGACGACTCCTCTTCGCTCGACGAAGGTTTTGTGTGGATCCATTTTTCTAAATTGATATTCTCCGGTATTGGTACCTGTGATGGAGTTGAGATTTCATATTCGGTTCTGTCAGTTTAACATTTTTAAGCACACAACAACAATGCCGCAAGGAAAATGCGAGCGACGATCTTGTGCTCGAATGGGCCAGCTAGTCAAAGCACAAAACAAAAACACTATCAATTTACGACACAATTTGCGACACATCTTCGGAGCAGGAAATCCACGTGATAGACAAGCATATGTAAAGAGCAGAAGTGTCGAGCAGACGTACTTTAGCTTGAGCCGTCGCTGCAATTGGGTTCAAGTCTCCCTCAAACAAAAATAACAGCAATTGCGCAGCTTGTCGCTGACTTTCTACACTCGCCCTCTGGATATTCACTTCATTGACCGTCAATGATGTAACGTTTTGCCCCTTTGATCGATCAGCGTTTGATGAAGAATCAGAAGCCTTTGGAGACAAAGCTAGGGTGTCGGATATCGCAGTACCCATATCGTCTATGTCGACTGTTCTTTCAATGTTTGCTGAATTATGAAGCGATAATTTGCAAGTAGCATGAGTACAGTGCATCAAGTGCAACAGTTGAGAGTCCATCTATAGAGTACAACCCCCATCGATCTCCGACAGGTCAACTTCAAAACGATATATATCTACTGCAGCATACCTAACGGAGGCGCATCTGGGGGTGAATCGCCAGAGTTTAAGAGAGACATTCCATTCGCGTTCGACGAGCCCGTATCTCCCAAGAAACTATCTAATCCGTTCTCGTCATCCGCTTCGAGCTTCTCAGTAGATGCCAATTCACCAGTCAAGGGCAAGGATGTACGGGATGAAAGATGCTTAAGCGCTTGTGCAGAATAAGGTCAAAAATCCACTCAGACCAGAAGTGAACATCGCCCGAATAATTTCGCAGCGCAAATCAATTCAATAGAGCGATGGAATCAAACACCGCAAATGTGATTCGAGACAGTAGGGATATTTCCAATTGAGGAGACGTAGTGTGAACCCTACCGAAACTTAGAAACTTAGAATTGAACTTTGGAAGGCATTTAGTCAGACATACCGAGCTTGATAAGCAAAGTTCTCTGTACAACTTCAAGGTCTCTCTCACAGAGCAAGCCCTCTCCTGTACCTCCATATCGGAATGCACTTCGAACATGGGCAGTCGCTTTAACATCTCATCAATGAATTCACTTTCCATTGACTCGCGGTCGCTATTGGATTGCGGCAGGACTGCACATGCGAATATTTTGAGAGCATTGTGCACACAGATCGCTTGCACCGCCGGCGACAGAAGACCTACTTGCGGCTGTAACAACCATCTGATGGCATCTTTCGGTGACATGAGGTGTCTATCATGCGATAAATCACGACCGTGGGATAATAATGTGTTAAAAATAATGGAGAAGATGCTTGTAGATTCAAAGCGTGCTGTAAAAGTTTGAAAAGCATGTTTCTTGTACAAATCCAACGAGAATAGAAACCAACAATACAAGCCATAGGAAAGGCGGGTACGAGTGCAAACCAATTTTGTATGAAGGTACAAACTACCTATACCTGACAGGAGGGTGACACAACCGCGCAATGTGCCACATTAATACGGAAAGATATATATTACACGCATCAAGTCAGAGCAACAGGAAACTCAAGATACAATGAACTGAACAACGAGTACACCTACTCTGAATATTCGCTAATCACCCACACGGCAGCGTACATGACTTCCACCATGTTGCCCTCTTTAGCCAAAGGAGGCGATGCACCATAGCCCTCAAATGGTGCCTGCACAACCGGTGATAGTAAATTGACCGCATAGGCGCGGACTTCCTTCACTCGTACGCACACATCCAGAATTTGATGGCTTACAAGTTCGCCTATGTGAAGGTAGTACAAGGAAATTTACGAGCATCAGGATCAAAACCGCCGACTGAAAGGGTTATTCTAGTTATGCCACTGGTTCCAAGTACGCTCTGCTATACTCGTATGTAGGTGCCCTACTTCTCGATTCCAAGAGAGTAATCTACATTTTAAAGCCAAGTAGAGTGGAAAAAGGAATGCATCAATTTGAACGAAACGTCGGCTAAAATCGGAATGGATCTGGTAGATACAGTTCTAGCGTGGGCCGATGCAAACATGATATATACCAATATTAATACGACCACTAAAGAGATGAGAACCGGCTTTGAAGTTGAACGAAAGAGATAACCTGGCAATTGAACATACCAGCAGTTGAATGCTCGACTGTGACGAGTGACAAGATCACTGTTAGGTACCATTCAAAATCTTCAATGTACTGTAATATAAGAACGATCGGAGATTTAAGGAGATATGGTATTTTGGTAAAAGAAACAGCCCTGATACAAATTAATGCATACAGGAAGATAAGGGGATCAACAACACGGCAGATTAACTTCTTGTTGCACTCTTTACATAACAGGGGACGTGGAAAGTATTCTCAGACCACCATTGATAAACAAGACGGATGATGTGGCGCACTCTGTGACACAAAAAACCGAGTTCGCCAACATGTCGTGACAAGTTAAACACTGCATTTCCGAAATAAGAGCGATCAGAGTTGTGCGTATAGTTGATCGACTCACGGCCATACCGAATATACCAACAAGGTTTGACCGTGCCAGCATCATCATTGCATGATTATCGCACAAGGCAAAAAAGTAGACGAGGTATGCAATAAAGCAGCTTGAGCTGAACTCTTACGTACCTTGTAATTCTCCTGACTGCACATGTCTATCATCTTCTCGATAAGGGCATCTCGATTGCGCGGGCCCATATTGCCAAGTGTAGCCAATATTTTCTTGACAATATCAGGCAGACTCTTCTTCGAAACCATGTTTACTAACAGTCCCATTGTTCTCATGCGAATCGTCTCATCTAGTCGTGGAGAGTGAAGGGTGGTTCTGTGTTAAACGAGCCCACCGCGCATGAACTGATCTAAAATTTGTCAGACGGCGCCTACACCAATCTAGCTTTAAGATCTGAGTGCATCACACAAGGTTAACTAGCTCACAACATCTTCGCATAAACTGTTTGAAGAGAATCTTATAAGTGTCGAATGAGAAGACGTAAAGCCAACATACCTTCATCATCCAGGCACACCATCACGACATCCTTTAGGTCCATAACAAGCCGTGGTTGTATTTCACTAACTTTGCTCAATTGCACCAACCCGAGGAACTTGAGATTCTGGTCGCTGTCCTCGACGAAAGTGCGCAATTTGGTGACGCACAGTTGGAGCATGGGTGTATGATCAGGCATTCCCGCGATTACTGCACTGATGGTCTCGTACCTGTATGTGAAGCCCAAACAACAAAAGAATGAAAACGGCAAATGCATAAATAGCGAACAGATATGTACGACGGGATGAAGCCCAAGCGTACAATCAATCTCAATGGATTTTCGCCGTCATTGCACTGGAATTGTAATATCGACATATAGGAAATTACTACCGAACCTTGCACCAGTATAAGAACCGAAGTCATAACCAATTTTTTCAAGGGAAAAGGCAAAATCTGCCGAGTTATGGCCTAACTCGCGAGTAGTGGAGTGAATCGAAGGCTACCATGTACGTAATTCTAAGAGTGAGACGTCAATGATACCGGGCTACAGATGCTAATACAAACAAACAATATCGCACTTACAGCAATGACATAGCATTTGTCGTGTGCAGGATATTACTCAGGGGCTCGGCGAGCTTTTTACTGAGTCTCGGCTCGAGCGGCATCAGCGCCGCAAACAACTTGATGATCTTGATAAGCATCCAATTGTTGCTCGCCGATAACAACTTGTATAAGGTTGGGGCGAGTGAAAGGTAACTTTTTGGGTTTTTGCGCGCCAGCTCGCAGATCACATTCACAGCCGCGCACTGCACTGACAGATCTGGGTCTTCCAATCGCTCGCGCAGTCGTGGGAATGCCGGACGCAGAGAGTCTGGGAACTTGAGAAACACCTGGTGCAAAACATAAATTGTACTAAGAGCAGTCAGAGATAATGTTTCTGGGTATATTTCGAGAGCTGGTTGTCAGATCCCCATAGAGGCATCTGGGAACCCGATATATCAGCGAGGGTTTTCGGATGTATGGAACGGAGACAAAGTATAAAAGCCAAACAAACACCTTGCAACTAAAAATAGGATGCACATTCTAAGATAAACATGGTATTGCATTCGGATAAAATGACCGTAGGAGTGGGCGTATCCAATCAAAATTTAGACATATTGCAGCTACAACATTAGAAATAAATACTTACTTTATACATGGCCAAAATCGCCTTCTTGCGAATGTATGGCCGTGAAGACGAGAATAACGTGATGACGTCATTGGCTAGGTCGCGAGCCAAATCAGCAGTCACGAACACTGACAACGCCGTCAGCGCTAACCCAGCCTCATACTGATTAGGTGACATCATATCCTATAATGGTGCAAAGAGCAAGTTAGTCATGCGACACAAAGATGACACTATACGTGCAAATATGTTGAGCTACCAGTCTCGAAGCCTATGATGTATATAAACGGCCGAAGGTCTCAGAATGCGGCGTTTATATATCAGTTATCAACTTGTTTCTACTCAAGTATATTGCCAAACCCGTATGCGAGCCATTTTACTCATTTTCCAAGTGCGCCATATCTTGTCGAGCTACATTTTAGAGCCATACATCGAAGCGTATGTTTCAACTAGGGTGTAAATGCATACACCGGATTTTTACCTTCTTGATTAGATTCGTAGTAAGCATCAGCACATCTGTGTCGTCTCTAAATGTTTGCGATGCCATCAAGTAACCAACTCGCTTGTATGAAAATTTCGATTGACTCATTATTTCCACAGTCTTGAACGCAGCAAACGATGTGTCATATCCTAGCATATGCAACTGTAGATACAGACAAATAAAACGTTAATAGAAGATACTCTACTCAAGTACTTCAGTAATCAATCATAAATGAGATTCGCACGTATCGTGGTCAGTAACGAATCTAGAGCCTTCAATAATAGTACGCGATGTAAAGAGACTATATTCGTTCTCCCAGCACCTAACTTGTACGCCGGTGGGGACTGAAATTGAGCAAAAGCACTGGCGAAGAAAAAACACAGCAGCAGAGTGAAGAACCGTACAAAGCTTCGATATAAATCACAGACGAAGTGAACGACAACATTGCTTGTTGAAACTTCTGTAGAGAGTAACTATAAACATACGTAAGTCAGCTTTGATATAGCCTTTGTTTTCACTGAATTTGAGTCTGTCTTCAGTTCCAGCGAAATGTCGTTCAGACAATCTGCGATATACTTAGCCTCCGTTCCTTTGTTTTGGCGGAGCCCACGTATGAGATCCTGCAGATCCTTGGTGAACATCCCTCCCTTAGGAAGACCTGTTCAGTTCCAGCAAATATTCCACAAAGTGTTAGACATATTAATTAGCGCAAATTCACACATCGTAATGAATTGTAAGTTTAAAGAGGAAGAAACTATATTAATACATACCATACCAGCTCACTGTCGAATACAATGCAGTAACGGTGTGTTACAAGACTATGGGATGTAAAGGACCAAATTGACAGTAAGCTGATTCTATAACTAATTAATCAAATGACAGAAAAACGACAACGCTACAAAATGTACTCACACACGCACATATACATATACATACACACACACACACACACACACACATATATATATATGTATCTATACATATACATACACACACACACGCATATATATATATATATATACACACACACACACACACATA